ATATCATCATGATGTATATTATTTATTTTAAAAAATATATTTTCTATATTTTTTAGCAAAAGGGTACTGAACATATGACATGGAGTAATAACTTAAAGCCACGTACTGCAAGCTAAACAAATAACCTTAAAATAAAGTACAGAACATAGATTAATTAGGTCTGCCAAAATATATAAACTGAAAATACATATTTATTCTCTTCCATGAATCTGCCACATGTGTTCAATAAGGTCTTCTTGGAGTTGTGTATGGTTTTCCCTATTTCGGATGCGCCTATGAACTTGAAGAAATTTCATTAACTCGGTTGTGGGTTCACGGGATATCGCAATTGTCGGAACTGTTTCAAGTCTATCACAATCTAAAACATAGTTGGTGCCTCTTTGATCCTCAACAATCATGTTATGTAGTATGACACACGCGTTCATTATACTTCGAAGGGTTTCTAAATCCCAAATTGTGTTGGTCCGCGAATGATTGCAAACCGTGATTGGAGAACCCCAAAAGCTCGTTCTAAGTCTTTCTTGCATACTCTTGAGCTTTTGCAAAAACTTGTTGCTTCAATCCTCTTGGAATAGGAATTGTCTTCAAAAATGTTGACCATTTTGGGTATATACCAAAATAATAACCCGTCGTATAATCATGTCCATTTATTGAGTAATTTGTGGGAGGAGACCGGTCAAGCATATTGATGTCATTGAGTGATCCCGGCAATCCAAAAAATGAATGCCATATCCACAAATCATTTGAAGCCACTGCTTTTAAAATAATCGTTGGTTTATGGATGTGCCCCGCGTAAATACCTTGCCACGCAGTCGGACAATTTTTCCAATACCAATGCATGCAATCGATACTTCCTAACATTCCAGGAAACCACGTTCTGCAGTAAATGCCAGCAATCGCCTAACATCCTCGTTGTTTGGCGCTCTTCTGTATTGGTCCCCGAAAATCTCATTGATTGCTTCGACAAACCTCCGAAGGCTTTCTATGACAGTACTTTCACCAATGCGTACATAATCGTCCACGGAGTCGGCTGATGCTCCATAAGCTAGCATTCTCATTGCAGCTGTTATTTTTTGAGTGGATAACAAACCGAGAGTTCCCGCTGCATTCCTTCTTTGCTTAAAGTAGGCATCATAACCTTCTACATGATTCTGTATTCGGAGAAATAAATTTCGACTCATTCGAAACCTCCGACGAAATTTGGCCTCGGGAAACGTCGGATGAGGGGCAAAATCATCTTTCCAAAGTCGCTCATGGCCCTCCACTCTATCGCGATTTATAGCAGAATGACCAGGAATTGATTCCACGATGATGTGATAGACGTTGTCGACGAGAATTTTCTTCTTCCTCGACTATCATAGCCGCAGCTAAAAGTGATCGAAGATGATTTGGTTCATCAAAAAGATCATCATTATCAAAAAAAGGCTTGAATAGATTAAAGAAATTAGCCATTGAAATATTGTGTTGGAAGAAGATAAGTGTAGGAATACGAGTGCAACTATCACCTTTTATACTTGAAAATAGTTGCTGTAATTCCTCTTTTTCTTTCTTGAACATTAAAATAGTTGTCAGTTTATCCTCTTAAATTTAGTTTCTCAAAGTCTGTTTGGAATTTAGATTTTCGATGCCTTTTGGATTTATCATTCTAATTAAGTGTTTTTATTAAAAAATATTCAAATATTAATTTGTATTAATAATATTGTTATTTTGAATAATTTTTTAAATGATCACTAAAATATAGTAGTTTGAATAGAATACGTGTGTTGAAATATAGTTGTTAAAATTAATTCAAAAATAAAATGTTGTAAAATAATAAAATATGATAATTATGTAAAATATAAATAATGTTGTTGGAGGCTGATTTTAAAAATGGTATTGCATAACACTATTCATCTCTTAAATTATAAATATAGACTATCATATTTTAGACAACTGTTGGAGATGACCTTATATGTATAAATGCAGATAGTGTTGAGGTCCAATTTTGTCATTTGCACATATCTATATAAACTTATACAATCAAATCTATTTTTGTCAGAATATATGTTCTTGAGTTATAATTAAATTAATATAAAATATATTAGGTGGTATACATTTGTTGAGATATGTACATAAGTTATGCAGATATTGTGAAAATTTTGGACCAAGATGAACTTGAGCCCATTTAATTTAGAAGAAAGTTGGTATATTTTATTTTATGTTTCTTATGAAGACACTGCAACCATGTATGTCAACTTAATAAATTTCGTCCTTGTATAATAGTCCGTAAATCATTTAAGAAGTATAAATCGTATGGGGCAAGTGAATCGAACTCAAGTTATTAAATATCACTAGGGCTGGCAATCAGGCCATGTGAGCTGAGCTTGGGTCGGCTCAAGCTCACATACCATTGGGGCTCGTTACTATAGGCTCAAACTCAATGTATTTTTTCGGGTTTCGGGTTTATATCGGGCCCCGGTACTATATAACTGTAATGAGTAAAAAATATTATAGAAACCAGTAATAAAAAGATTTACCTCCATTGAAGCCAATCCAAAATAACCGTAAACGATCTTTGCAAGTTATTGTTGAAATATTTGATTTTTGAATAAAATATAATTTAATTGTTTTTTTCTTAAATCAATTTTCAGTATTTCCTTGCAAGTTATTGTTGAAATATTTGATTTTTGAATGAAATATAATGTCATTGTTTTTTTCTTAAATCAATTTTCAGTATTTCCGAAATTTTTATTATAGGATTTATTATTTACAGTTAGTGTGTGGTTATTTTGAGCTTAATGGATAAATGTTTTTTTTATCATATGTTTAATTATTCCACTAACTCACTATCTTTCCTAGTATGTTAATTTCGTGCAAGACATGATGCTCCTAAACTCTATAAATAGGAGAAGATCCAAGTTCATTTCTCACCATTTCTGAAGAGAATTAAGAGCGCAAAGTTGCGAGCGTTGGACCATCTTTTACAACACCTTGTTTTTTTTTTTTTTTTTTTTTTTAATTTATAAATTTCTCATTACAATATTGAGTCTGTTGTGTATTCAATCTCATTGAATACTGATTTGTATTCCTAGTGTACTTCTAAGAAATATTGTTCTAGATACTAGGAATTGATTTACGAAAAAATCAACTCGTGATTTCTTCTTAGAAGAGAATATCTTAGCTTCTCATTTGTATTCTTTTGAATACTATTTTTAGCATGTGAATGCACCATCCACAAGTTATATACTTGTGGAGAATGATCTAAAACTTGTGGTATTTATATTCTGCTACTTAGAGCCCGTTTGGCTAAGCTTATTTAAAACATCTTATAAGCTCATACATCTGATAAGATGTTTTAGGAGCTGATAAGCTGTTAGATCTTATTTTAAAAATTATTTTTTAAGGTGTTTGGATATTAGCTTATAAGTTACTTTTTGTTTTTATAAGTTGTTCAGGTGTTTGGAAATAAAAGGTCTGTTTATTGCTATAATGACAAAAAAGTACATGATGCCAGTATAATTGTTAAACTTATTTGACTCAAATACTTTTGTTCCTAAAATATTATTATAATATTTATAAATTATTTTTTCAGATAATAATAATAATAATATTAAATTATATAATAATATAAAATAAAAGTTGTAAAAGAAATATAATTTTTTTTTTAGATGAAAGAAATATAATTTATTATGGAGATAATAAGAATATTCGTGTATTTTTATATACATATAAAATATAAATAGAGAATATTTTTTTTACAATTATTATGATAATTACGATAATTATATTTAACTAATTATTAATCTTGATTACAAGAATACGTTGTTTTGATAAAATATAAATATTATTAGTATTCATGTAATGTAATAAAATATTTGAGGGTAATTTTGTATTTTAAGTGTTTTAGTAAATAAGCAAATAAGATCTTAAAGAAAAAAGGTGGGGTAGAGGTACTTTTTTAAAAACATCTTATAAGCTCCCTAACAGCTTATTTTTTGAAAAAATAAGATCTTTTGCAATTTTTTTACCAAACACCTTTTAACAACTTATAAGCTCCTAAACATCTTATAAGATGTTTTTAGGAGCTTATAAGCTTAGCCAAACGGGCTCTTAATCTTTCTCAGTACAAGGTTTTGTTTATCTCGTTTAACGATCTCTAATTTTATACAAGTTGTATTTAAATTACACGAATTCGAATGCATTGAATACTTTCAGTTATTGAAAAAACTTAAAAATAAGACTAAAAGAAGTAAAAAAAAAAAAATAGAAATTCTTATTATTGGAAACGTTTTATATTCTCAAATCTCGGTGATGAATTTCGGTAATTAGATTTCGGTGGGACCTTATTCGGGTTGAGCCATCTAGTTCCTTTTATTTTGACTTATTTATTTGCAAAACAAAATAATCTTATACAGTTGTAACTTGTATGTTGAGCCCAACATTAAAATAATAAGTATATTATATATTTATTATTAATAACCTAAGCGGTCGGGCTTTAATCGGGTCGAGCCTTAGTAGGCTGAAACTCGGCTCATAAATAAATCGAATTTAATAAAATGTCTCAAATTCAGCCGAAATCACTAAAGAGTAGGCTCAACTCAAATATAATAGGACTGCGTTATCGGATTTCGGTAAGGCCCAACTCAATTACCGATCTTAGATATCATTTTCTTTTTTACTCCACCAACTAAATCGCCAGTTAGAATATTCAAATCCCATTCAATTACACGACAAAAAAGGAAAAAGAAAAAGAAAAATCTCGATCAATAAGTTGACTTTTCTAGTCAAGACTATTATTGCTTCTTTATTCAATCACGTGCATTCAGTTATGTTGAAGGGTTTCCTTCTTTAATAAAAATACATAAATAACTCATCACTTTTATCTTAATAAACTATATCATCACTATTACTGTAATTTTAATTCTGATTTTCCGAATATAAATTTTTGTTTTATTTTTGAAATTTGTTAGATTAGAAGTGGAAATATTATTGTTTATGTTTGAAAACATAGGTATTTATTGTTTTGGAAATTTACTAATTTTGATAAGATCTTTCTATCTTATCAATTTCTATAAATACGGCCAACAACTACAACAACTTTCCATCAATTACTGAAATATCTATATTATCACTCATGGCAAATATCGCCATTTTAATATCGATATTACCCGTTGTAGCCGCAGTGCTTCTTTACCAAATCGACCCATTCGACCCGGCTCCGTATCCGGATCACGAATTGACCCGAAATGGAGAACCCTTGTTCATCCCAAAGAGAAACAGCCACATGCTCTTGGGTTCAGAGAAGATCGGGTACGGTGAGTTGCCGGCGCCGGAGGATATTGCTTATGACCCCAAGACAGGCGTTATATACACCGGCTGTGTAGATGGCTGGCTCCGCCGTGTATCTATCAAGGGCTCCGCCGCCACCGCCGCCGACTTTGTGGTGGAGGAATGGGTCAACACTGGCGGCAGGCCGCTGGGGATAGTCCATGGGATCCACGGTGAAGTCATTGTTGCAGATGCTGATAAGGTCGGTTTTTTTTTTTAAATCTATACTTATCCACCTACTCTCTACTCTACTCTTTTACTTCTTAAATTTTAATTTGTGTTTGGTCAAATTTTAGCTGATTTATGGTTTATCCACTCAATTAGTTTTAAATATTGTTACTTATTTAAAAAAGAACTAGCATTTTTCCCCGTGCGATGCACGGGATATCATATAATGAGCATATTAAAAATAGATTGATGAAAAATAGAAAATTAATAATTGTTGAAAATTATAGTTAGAAAATTAGTAGAGAAAAATATTAAAAATAAATAATTACAGAAGTACCATTATGGTATAATTTTTCATGGGTTAGTTTCAATTTTGATAATTATTAAAAGTTATACTTAAAAATTAGTAGTATACAAAAATTAAAAATAAATATTTACAACAATACCATTAGGGTTTTTCTAGTTATACTTAACAATTAGTAGTATGAAAAATTTAAAAATAAATATTTACAACAATACCATTAGGGTTTTTCTAGGGTTGCCCTGCGTTTCTTTCTTTTATATATAAGATATATAATTAACTTGATATGTTTTTAATTCTCGATCGTTTTTTTTTTTACATTTATGATAGTAATTTTTAGATATTCCCAACTTTATGATTAAGTAAAATCTAATAAAATATGAACTAGCTAGTTTCAAAACAAGTAGTTAATATTTTTATTTTGACTTTTTAAAACTTATCATCAATAGAGAGTCATAATAATTAATTTACCGAACCTAGCTACATAAATTAGAAGTCTTGGGTATTTTATGCTTTTATGTGATCGTATCAAAGTATATTATATTTTAGTTATTTCATCCATTTCTTATTTTCTTGAAATTTTAGAATTTAATTATGTATTGTAAGATATTAATTCTATAAATATCGAATGCTAGTTAATCTAATAATAAATGACTAAGCTATGTTTAAAAGTATGGTGTTTAAAATGTGAGAGTTCATATATTTGTACAATTATTTTTAGCTACACCCTTTTTTTCGGAACAATATAATTACATAGAAGCCTATCAAAACTAATATTCCCGTGGATATCTAAACAAAAAAAAAAATTGACCTATAGGCCTTTCAGGCCATCATCTTTTTTAAAATTTTCGCATTGATTTTTGAACATGATACAAAATAAATCGTGATAATTTTACAAAAATCAAAATTTGTACTAGCATTTGATTAGTTTTTAGTCACAAACAATCCAATTGTTGAAAGAGAAACTTTTTGTGTCAGGGTCTATTAAACATAAGTAGGGATGGTGTAATAGAATTGCTGACAGATGAGGCAGATGGTCTGAAATTCAAGCTAACTGATGCCGTCGATATTGGTCCTGACGGCACACTCTACTTCACGGATGCTTCTTACAAACACAACTTTAAAAATCACTTTGAGGACTTTCTAGAAGGTAGACCCAACGGCCGATTCTTGAGCTATGATCCATCAAGTAAACAAACACAAGTCTTGGTTAAAGATCTTTACTTTGCAAATGGTGTTGCTCTCTCTGCTGACCAAAGTTTTGTTATTTTTTGCGAAACCGCCATGTGAGTCTTTTTTTTTTTTTTTTTTTGTATCAATTAGCGACAATATTTTATATTTATGTATCTTTGTTAAATGATGAAATACAGGATGAGGTGCAAAAAGTACTACATACAAGGTCCAAGCAGAGGTTCTGTGGATATATTCGTTGAAAATTTACCTGGATTACCAGATAACATAAGATATGATGGTGAAGGTCAATATTGGATTGCCTTAACCACGGTAATATATAGTACAACGCGAACGATTTAACAGCTTTTATTAGAATATATATATAATATTGGATGCAATAACTTATAGAGAAATATTTTAAGAGTATAACATATTCTTTATTGAAACGACTTTGGTAGGATACAAGTGTTTGGAAGCTGGCACAAAGATATCCCTTCATAAGAAAGGTGATTGCAATGGTGGATAGGTACATAGGAAGACCAAGTACTGAGAAAAATGGTGGTGTTATTGCTGTTGATTTGGACGGAAAACCAACCGCACAC